ACACACACACACACACACACACACACACACACACACACACACACACACACACACACACACACACACACACACCGAGTAGCACAGCAGCATCGTTATGGCTTCATCAACATCTCATTCATCATGCATCCCAAAACGTTTCCGGAATATGAATATGATCGCAATGCAAACCAGCGGGACGGCGGGGGACCCTCACGCAGCTAATACACACACGCACACACACACACACGCACACGCACACACGCGCGCGCACGCACGCACGCACAATGATGATGATAATGATGATGATGATGATGACGATGATGAGGATGATGATGATGACGATGATGATGATGATTATGATGATGATGATGACGATGATGATGATAATGATGATGATGAGAAAGACAAAGAAAGAGAAAGAGTGTAGGAGGAGAGACAGTGAGAGAGAAAGACAGCGCGAAAGAGGGAGAGAGAGAGAGATAAAGAGAGAGAGAGAGATAAAGAGAGCGAGAGAAAGAAAGTGGGCGAGCGAGAGAGGGAGAGAGAGGGAGGGAGCGAGGGAAAAAGAGAGAGACAGAGACAGAGACGGAGAGAGAGAGAGAGAGAGAGAGAGAGCACGACAGGAGAGAGACGAGAGAAGCAGCGAGAGAGCGCGCGCAACTCGTGCTACGAGTGGCTGTTACAAGTGAGTAGTGAGACAGGCATGTAAATACGGCAGTAAAGTAAACGCCCCTTACCTGTAGCTACTATAGGTGAAAGCGAACCAGGGGTCGGATTGAAGAACAGTGCGTACGCACAATATCGTACATACCAGCGCTCGTACGCGCAAACAGGCATTTAGGTGGCATTCACAAAGAGTTCTATTTCGTCAGAATCATTTCGTGCGTACGGTATACGCACACTAGCGAGCATACGTACGCAGAGTAATTGGGCTTTGAAACTGCATTTTATGCAGATATAACGAAACAAACGCTAGATCCCGCCCCAGTAAAATACGACAGTAAAATAAACCGCCCCCCTACCTGTAGCTACAATAGCTTCTCAACTATAGTAACTACAGGTAGCAACCAGGTGCGAAAATACGGCAGTAAAGTTAAACGCCCCCCTACCTGTTGTCGGCACGTAGACGTTCAGGAACAGGCAGTCCTCGTCCTGGTTGGTCAGCAGCGGCAGCAGCCGCCGCAGGTAGCGCAGCCGATCGTGCGTCATCCGGGTCAGCGGGTCATTGCGGATGTCCGGTACCTTTTGCGGACAGGCGGGAGCGAACACGGTCGCATTCCACACGTCGTCGTGTCGCGTGCTCGGGTTTCGCGGCGGCATGAACCGCAGCGAACCTACCGGCGCGTCGGCGTAGCGTATGCCGAGGAACGCTTCCACCCGACGTACGGTCGGCGACGGGTAGAGGTAGCGACCGCGCACAGGCCCGTTGCGGGTTTCGACGCGCGGGTACTCGTTGCCGCCAGACGAACCGACAGCGATGAAGAGCAGAGCGAGCAGCAGCAGCAGCAGCAGCGCATGCGGTCGCCACGCTGCTGCCGACGTGCCTGCCGACGTCGTGCCCGCCACCGTGGCGGCGGCGTCGGCGGCGGTTACGCGTGCATGTTGCCGCATGCTACGATGCTCCGTTAGCACGCGGCCTCGACATCGCCGCCACACACACGCACGCACACGCACGCACGCACGCACGCACGCAATCCGAGAGTTGAGTCCGAGTGTCCGACGCGGATCCTGTAGTGTGTGCGGCGTAGTTAGGGGATCCTGGTGATGGCGGTGCGCGTGTATCGCTGACACGTTAACGGACACACGCACACACGCGCGTACACGCAGGCACGCACGCACGCACTCCGAAAGTTGTAGTTAGGATGTCCGAGGATCCTGGTGATTGCGGTGCGTGTGTATCGCTGACGCTTTAACAGTTAACACAGTTATGATGTTGTAGGTGCAGACGACAAACAGACGACAAAGCAGAAGACGTCGGCTACGGCAAAAGACGTCGGCTACGGCAGAAGACGTCGGCTACAACAGAAGACGTCGGCTACAGCAGAAAACGTCGGCTACGGCAGAAGACGTCGGCTACGGCAGAAGAGGTCGGCTACGGCAGAAAACGTCGGCTAAAGCAGAAGGCGTCGGCTAAGGCAGACGACGTCGGCTACGTCAGAAGACGTCGGCTACGTCAGAAGACGTCGGCTACGTCAGAAGACGTCGGCTACAGCAGCATCGTACGGCGACGCGCCGTCCCAGCAGCAGCAGAGCGACCGCGGTGAATCATTGCTACCAGCGCTGTGTTACTGCGAACACGAAATGATCATCAACTTCAGTGCAGCCTGCCTTGCCCGCCTGCCTGCCGAGAGAGCGGAGCGCACGACGCATGCGCTGATGATGCTGCAGATAGCAGCCGCACGCGAAGCGGGATGCATCCGAGTCATCCAGCGGCAGTAGCAGTAGCAGCAGCGGTAGTAGTAACAGTAGTAGCAACAACAGTAGTAGCAGCAGCAACAACAACAGCAGCAGCAGCACCACCACCATCGGCAGCAGCAGCAGCGCAGCAGCAGCAGCAGCAACAGGAACACCACCACCACCAGTAGCAGCAATAACAACAGCAGCAGCGGGTCCTGTCCCGTGTATATAGTATGAGTCAGCTAGGCAGTCAGGCCTGCCGATCTATATAGTATTCTATACAGCTAGCAGGGCTGAGCCTCTCCTGCTGCTTCTACTATTGACTGGTGATGACCAGAGCTGTGCTTGTCACATCACATCGCGTGGCGCGCTGTCCCGAGAAATCCCAGCCGCCGCTACTCATGCTGCTGCTGCTGATGCTACTGATGCTGCTGCTGCTGGTGGTGGTACTGATGCTACTCATGCTGCTGCTGCTGATGCTACTGATGCTGCTGCTGCTGGTGGTACTGATGCTACTCATGCTGCTGCTGTCTCTCTCTCTTCCTCTCTCTCGGTGTCTCCCTATTTCTTTCTGCGTCTCTCCCGTCGCCCTCACTCTGTGTCGCTCCCTATCAACTCTCCCTCTCCATCACCGTTTCGCGCCAATTCTATAAGGAGATAATTTCTTGATTCTCGAGCATCTTCCCTCGCACGTTTCTCGTGCTTGGAATCGTGCCCCCGCCCGCGTACGTCTCTACTGTCACATTATCCTTCTGTTTACAGCTAGACGCGATAGACTATAATCCCCCTAGAATCGCTGTCACTAAGCACGACTGTCGATTCTTAACGATCTTGCGTTGTCAGCTAGGAGTTTGAATGCGCACACGTTGTGTACGTACGTATATGCCGTGTGTGTGTGTGTGTGTGCGCGCGTGCATGCGTGCGTGCGTGCGTGCATGCGTGCGCGCGTGCGTGCGTGCGTATGTGCGTGCGTGCGTGCGTGCGTGTGTGTGTGTGTGTGTGTGTGTGTGTGTGTGTATGTGTGTGTGTGTGTGCGCTGGTGCCATGCGTGGGTCAGTGCGCGCGCGCCGTGTGTGTATATATATATTATATATTATATATAATATATATATATATATATATATATATATGTATATTATTATATATATATCAGGAGTAGATAATAGAGACCCCCTATCTCCTATTCCCTATTCCTATTCCCTATTCCCTTCCCTATTCCCTATTACACCTATTATTCCTATTATCCCTATTATCCCTGTTATCCCTATTATTCCTATTATCCCTATTATTCCCTATTCCTATTCCCTATTCCCTATTACTCCTATTATTCCTATTACTCCTATTATTCCTATTATCCCTATTATCCCTGTTATCCCTATTATTCCTATTATCCCTATTATTCCTATTATCCCTATTATTCCCTATTACTACTCCCTATTCCCTATTATCTACTCCCTATTCCCTATTATCTACTCC